TAAATAACAATAAATCAAATTTAGAGTTAGAAACTTGAAATTAGCTAATTAAAATCTAAATATCCAACAACACAAATAAATTAAACGAAGAAGATGACTTAAATTTAGAATTTTAGATGGTTAAATCAAATTTATTCCGAATTCCAGATTAAAATGTTGATTTGTGGTTAGGTTGTGTGAGTTGTGGGCTTTTAAAATGAAAAATGAGCTTAATTTATGAGTTATCTAGTCAAAACTCACTAACTCAAGATAAGAAACCCAAAAGGAAATAGCTTAAAAGTTCAACTGTCAAACAGAAGATAAAATCAAGATTTTACCTGATTTCACCTGATTTCACGGTAAAATCTAGATTTTATCGTGAAATCCCCAAATTTTATGAATTTTAGATTTTAGTATAGATTTTACATGAAATATCTTGCGTAAAATCGTAAGATTTTAAGATTTAAATTTAGATTTTGACAACAATTACTACCACACCTATCTTCATGCAATTAAAAAATTTGACACCACGAAATTGGCTAAAAAATACCCAATTACAGCCATTCTTAAGCCCAAGTAAATTGGGCTATAAGTCCAGCCCTTATATGACTTCATTAAGCCCTACCCTACCTTCTCCAATAAATTGCCTATCACCACCGAATTCTGAGGTTGGTCGTCGGTTCCACTTCCATCCTCCACGTCCTCCTCCCACTCCATTTCAGGTTTTTATTTATTTAGTTTTTCCTCAACTTTCTGAGTTCCATCTCCCCGTTTTTTTTCTTTCCATTTTTTTTTTTTGTTTTCCGAATAGCAATTCCATTGCTGGAAAATTTCTAAATTTGGAGGATTCTGAATTCCTGATCTAAGATCAGTTCATTGGACTCGCGGTTTGTCGTCTTAGAAGAGGAATCCTTCGATATCATAAGGGGTGTGTGTGACTCCCTTCCTACTTATCAAAACAGATTTATCAAAATCGATTTGGTTTGGGATGCCCAGTGAGCTGTAAAGGATAATCTTTGAAGGATCGATTATAAGGTTTTGTATTTTCTCCAAGAACAATGACACAACCAAAATCAAATGTAAGTCTTGAAAATTTTTGTGCTTCTCTATTTTATCTATTCTTTCTTTTTCATACTTAATTTTTGTTCCACTTGAAGTTTTATTCGATTATGTTACTTTTGCAATATTCTTTAGCTTCTTGTTGGAGATTAAGCATTGTTTCTTACCAACATACCAACATAACAAAATAAGTCCAGAGGTAACTTCTATTATTATTGAAAAATATGAAACAGAATGAATAAGAAATTAGAGCCCTCCTTGATGCTTTAAGTTTTTGTCATCATAGGAATGTTACCTTCTTCCTTTTTTTTTTTTTTTTTTTTCGTTGGCATATCCCTGCTGACCTCTCTTCTTTTGCAGAGAAGTTGTTTTCTAAGTATCT